GTTGGTTTGCATATTTTAAGATATGCTGGCCAAACTATTATACATAGCTTCATTTTATGTTGTTTTTTGTTGTTCCGGATCGGTATGACAATCAATAAAAGGTTAAATTACCTCTGTGTCTGCCGGTCGATCCTATAACGGTAGGCTTACTTTTATTTTTACTATCTGATCTCGTTTGCATGGCTCAATCACGTCCTGGTTGAAGTTCGTTCGCTACGCTCACTCACCTGTATGTTGGAGCTCGTTCGCTGCGCTCACTTTCCTTCAGGTTAGCTCGTTCGCTACGCTCACTTGCCTTCAGGTTAGCTCGTTCGCTACGCTCACTCGCCTCCAGGTTGCAAATTAGCTGTTGTCATAAATGTAAAAGAAATAATAGTGCTAGTGCTGCACCCTGTTGGTAATCCTTGTAACTTTAATGCTATTGAACATCACAGAACAGAACCAACTTGTTTAATTGAAACAGCTGTTAAGATTCAATAATTTCATTTCTCATAAGGTTAACATGGGCTTCCAGAAATTCCACGTCAAAAATCGACAAAAACTTGATTTTCAAGGGTTTACTGTTAAATATCTAACTGTCTCATATTCGATGAAATACGTCTAAAACCATCTCATATATGTATAGTATTTGGAAAATAAGTTTCAGGCGGGACAGTGCTATAGTTATTGAGGAGTAGTTGTAATAAAGTGCGTATTTTAGCGTTACCAAGAGAATGACAGATAGACAGACAGACAGACAGACAGACAGACAGACAGAAATTGAGATAAGGTTTGATTCGGTTTCTCTGACCTATGAAATGTAAAAATAACCATAAAGTTCATTATTCTAAGCAATGTACAGACAAAACTCTAATTTTATTTATATAGATTTCTTAAACAAACAAAATTTTGCTGATCATTCTTAGAAATATCTTTCTGAATTTGACATTGGTCTATTGAGAGGGGCCACTAAGTTAAATAAAAAAAATTAAATAATACTTAACAGTATTAGGTATGCATTTTATAAATATATATTTGATCTAATAGTCTGAAAGCTTTTAGTTAGTTTTAGTTAGAAGAATCTCTTTAATTTTAATTCAAGTTGAATAAGATCACATTAGCCCAAAAAGAATCACAAGCTAAATCAAACTATTAACTTCAAGTGAAATTAAGACAGTGAAGCTTGACTGCTGATTTTTTAACATTCTCTTTATTTTATTAAAAAGATTATCTTTATTTGTAATTTCTTAAAGGAATACAATTGCATTTGCATAACATAATTCAGCCTGTGGCTTGTAAATTATCCTAAATATCTACTCTAGCTACTTCAAAAAGTCTCAAACCATAAGAATTGAAATAAAAAATAAAAATAAAAAAGGTGTTGTATATGCTTGTGGTATACATTCCTCAGCTCATTTCCAAGATCATTTCAACAGGGAGCGTTTTGATGGATTACTCCTTATGATAAGCTTGGTCCTTGATTGATGTCTATTCATTTAACAGTTATTTTTTACTACACACTCCATGAAAAATATGCACTTGTATAACGGGATCTGTTATAGTAATTTGTGCTAACTGCTAAGTAGGTACCTACTAAGCAAGTCAAAGTAGTATTGTTAAATGGGTAAACGACTTAAAAATACAGTTTGGATATAGCCCTACTAAAATTCTCATACTGTAGTAAAATTTGATGCTATTTTTGACATCCGTTTGCCACGTCCTTTAACATTTGAGTGCAGGATCATGTCAAGCTCTTATTTAAGGGAAAGTTTTTAGTATGTTTATGGCTATGATACTAGGGGACAAACAGAAGTTTCCAGATTGCATTAACTTTCCTATAAATAAGCTGTTGATAAGAAACTAAATTTACAAGTTAAAAAATTAAAGAATACAATAATATGAAAATGTAGTGATAATATACCATCAATTTAGAACAAAAGAAGCCTATGTGATGATTATCTGTATCCTCATTGTAATTGTGCTCATTGTAAAAGGGAAAGAATAATTATATTATTTAATATCACCTATAGGACAACGCAATGTTTACTGGAACCGTTTAATATGTTTTTCCTTATATTTTCAATCCGTAATACACCGATTGCACATTAGGTATCACGGGAATGAATCGCGAGAGATCAAAGAGATTTCTCATCTCATTTCCAGTTCGCTTGTTAAATATTTCTCTGAAATGGACAGAACACAGGTAAAGTAGACAATCCGGAAGCCTCATTAATAATACCGCTGTGTTTAGTGGTGTTTTACATTCAACCTCTCTGTAACGTTGTTGTACGTCCACCAAAATTTTTCTCCAATTTGTCTAAATGTTGAAAAACATCTGTTTTGAGGATACATATATTTTAATTTAACAATTATGTTAACTGAATCTTTAATTAACGACTATAACCAAAACGAAAATACCTACTTAAAAATAATATTTTTTTTAGAATAGGCTTAATCTTTAAAATGTAAAATTAGTTAAATACTTTCAATGATTAAATCAATAATTGAGCTGTTGAGAATATTAGGTAATCTTTAACAACCAATATTGATAGAACATCAGTATCTAAAAGTAAAATAGTAATCTTTACTGGATATCGAAAGCGCCTGGATCACAAGCCTCATGTTTGTTTACAAATTATTTTTAGTAAATATTTGTTACCTATATTAAAACTGTGTTGCTGTAAAACAAATTCATGTATGTATTTTTATAGAAATATTTTACCTAAAAAAATATGATTAGCAATTGAGTGGTGTTAGTTTAACGAGTAATTAAAGTGGGTAGTGAGATATATGAATTTCTTTATTTACAGAGAACACTCTGAAAAAGAAACTAGAGAAGAAACTTTTCAAGGGTTATAAATACCAATTTTCAAGACTCTGAGGCCAAATAAATGTAAATTATGAAAAAGGAACCCATTTTATTGACATGCAATTAGGAAAATATCGTTTTAGAGGATGTAAAAAAAACAATCTTATTAGGCAAAGAAGTTATTCAAACACTACAATGAAATGAAGAAGAAGTTTAAAAAATGAATAAGAAATCCAACAAATCACCTGAGCAAATTCATAATGGTCAGATAAGTGAAAACACTTTATCTGTTAAGGTGAGCGACAAACCTTTTGAGCAATCATCTTTCGAACGAGCAAATATCGAATTACAAACGTACACAGCTGGTGTCGACACACCAAAGAAATTGAATGACAAAACATGTGGAAGCTTTGTACCGGATAAGAGTAGTACGACTTACGACCCTAACAGTTCCACTTCCACGGAGAGTGAGGAGGAGACAAAGCCTAAACCCAGCCGAAGACGCGTCACAAAAGGCACTAATAAGTATAGAGACCATGATGTTTGTATTGCAATACCTGCGGGAGCGAAAGGCAATATTCGGATAGTCGGTAATTCGGTTACGCCAGTAAAACAAGTAGAGTTTGCATTATATGACGCGGTCTATGGGACTACACCAGAAATATCATCCAGTGAACAAAGTTATTTAAAAATACAAAAAGACACTAATGTATTTCGTGTGGGTAACGGAGGGCGTAGTTTATTTACGAAAGGTTCAAAGATCAATGGTGCTTCTTTTGAGGGTGAAAATAGGGAATCGCCAATGCATATAGATCCACATAATGTTCAAGGAACTTTGATAAATGAAAGCAATGGAGGTACAAAAACGGAGGAGTTACTTGGCAACTCAAGAGTTGGTGAGAGAACGATAGTCATATCTGTTCCAGAAAATATTCAAACATATCAGGGGGAATCGCAAACAGGAAAAAAATCTCATTCTCAAACTAACGGAGATGATGTTGAAGCCACTGCTGCGATCTCTAGATCTCATGGCAGTAATTTTACAAAACCATTAGTTAATGCAACTACATTGGACATGGAGACACTGTCAGCTCTATTACAAAAACCTGGCGTTCGAGGCAGAGATAATCAAATCGAAATGGACACTATATCAAAAGTGGCATCTAAATCAAGCGCTAGAATAAATCCACTGGATAAAAGTGTCAGCAAACAATCATCTAAGAAGAAACCAGAAGTTATAGGAAGTAAAATAGCCATTAAAAAATCCAGACTCTCTTTACTAAGATCATCTATTCCAAAACCATCGCCAGTTAGCTCTTGGGGAAAGCCTTCGGTGAAACTTCATACACCAAAAAACAGCATTCAAGGGAGCTTTTCAAGACCTTCAAAGAAATATATAATACAAGAGATTGTGGTTGTACCAGAAGAAGAACTAAGCAAGCAATTTACAGATGTTCTTCCACCCAAACCTGTAGGTGGAGTCTTCCATAAAGAAAATGTGATGTCTGAACGTGAAATAAGATTACATGACTTTAATAGTGGATATTCTATTGAGAATGGTAATCAGCTATTGCTACCTTCCTCCAATGAAATTACAGTCCCAATGCACCAGAGTAATCCTACTAATACCGGTACTAATGCAGTAGATTCTCCATACGCAAACAAGCCCTTAGCGTTTAACCTCATCGATGATGAAAATGCAAAAAATGGTCCTAATCAGAATACTAGTAATCGACCGACCTCATCTCAAAGGTACACTTATAACCCAATACATGACAGGGAAGTCCCAACTGAATACAATGCTAAAAATAAACCCATATTCATTGACCCTGCAACACACAGAATCATTATGGAAGCCATAAAAGCATCTAATGACTATTCTGGTGTAGTTTCTTTTCCAACTAGGATGCCGGAGGAAGAAACTAGCCACACATTTCAACATGAGATCAAACACCATGGAAAGACTGATCCCTCTGAAAATACAGTAGCATTTGAAGAAGTAACTGTAAAGGGGGATAAAGATGATTTGGATAAATTTCATACAAGCAACCTACAACAAAGTGAATTTTCAAAAACTAAGAGAGATAGAAGTACACAAAAAACAGAAAAAAATCTGAGAGAATCATTTGATAGAGACGAAAAATTAAATTTTGAAACTCCTGAAGAACTTATGTTAAATACAGGTCATCCATTTAGAGGTACCGGTAATGACGATAACAATGTTTCTACGGCGGTTCTAGCATATCCTAGCCATATTGTACATCGAACGCCCTTAAACTTAGAGAGAAAAAAGAGCCAAAGCGGAACAAAAAAACGCAAAACAAAAACAAAAAGTTACAAGAAACTTTCACTAAAAAAGAATACACTCAAGGACAGTAACGTAATTGGAACTATTTTAAGTTTTAGTGAGCCACTAATCATAAAAGACTCTCAGACTGGTTTGGATGTATGCAAAGAAGTTCCTTTTATAGCAAAAAGAACTAAACAGAACAAGCACAAACAAGTTGTGCCTGAAACCATGGTTTACGTGGGTAAACTTCCAAACACGACCTATAATGTATTTTTTTCCCCAGAAAATACTCAATCTTATCAGGGTGATAAATATAGTGTTGGCAAGAAAAGTGAGCCCAGTGATCAAAGTGTTCGCAGTGATATGAAGAGCGTGAAAATGGCCGAGAGTGAAAAGCTACACGCTCTAGGAGCTCTGGGGCCCAAGGGGATTTTGATTTTTGTTAATAAGAAAACTGAGTTGAATAGAAATCCTTTCGATGGAAATGTAAGGTATGCAGACGAAGAAGATTACTATGACCATAAGCACAAAAGCAGACCAGATGATTCAAAATCAATTAAGTCTTGGAAAACCTACAACGAAGATGAAGAAGACAAAAAAAGTAGTAAGCGAAAAAGCAGATCAGATGACACAAAGTCCAAAAAGTCGCGAAAATCCTATGACGAAGATGACGAAAAGCGTAGTAAAAGCAAAAGCAGATCATTTGATACCAAGTCCAAAAAGTCTGGGAAGTCAGAGCAAGGTTCGGATCTTGATGTCACAAGTTTTCGAGATCCGAAACATCAGCTTTCATCTCATGATGGCGTCGTCATTGAGAGATCACCAAGTGGTTTAAAAACGACCAAGAAATACCCTTGTGGCTGTATAAAAATAACCAGAATTGATCCTGAAAAAGAAACTGTAACTGAAGAAATAACATCTGCATTCTGCCGAGACGGAAGTAACTGTGAGATCAGCCAGTCACAAAAGGGCGAACGGCTGATAAGATATGTAGATGATGGCTCTGGGTCTGGGAGAAGAAGAACTAAAAGTGGCCGAATGCCGGAATCTCCTCAACTTGACATTGTAGTTGAAGGACTGGTGAGCAGAAAACCAATCAAACCACAGGCTCCAGCTCAGAAAATGAAAGGAGCAAACCTAACAGGGACTTTGACTGTCAAAACCAACAGATGCAATGGAGTGTTGAACCTGTACATTGATCCAAGGCTGAGGAAGTGTATTCGAGATAATTTAGCATGCATGATGAACAACACACATGATAGATATAGAAGGCATTCGTGATAGAGGTGTCGGAGCCTGATGCAAAACGATTTTTATTAAATCAGAAGATTGTATTTAACTGTTTAGTTAAAAATATGATAGCACTCAACAAAACAAAATAAAATAATAAAAACAACGGATACAAGTGTAACGTAATGTCAGTATAAATTATTGTACATTAAATAATAATTTGAAAACAGTTTAAAATTATTTTCGATTCTTGACCTTATTTGGTAAAATAGATTTCTATAAAATTGTGTGAACTATGTTAAGTACTGTTAAAAAGAATGAAACAACATTTTCAATCATTGTTTTAAGGCACCGACAATGCACATAGTAAAATGATTTGCCATTATAAGTTCAACATTAAATTGTGGGGCATACAACTATAGCCCAAACATTCAAAACCTCATGAATAACATTTCAAAAATTACCGATTATCAAACCTTTACCTCACCTTTACCTTTTGCTCACTAAATGGTATGTGTTTTTATGACACCCAACAATGAGGCAAATTTTATCAATAAATAAAAAAAAATAAATACCTTCAGGTTTTCTGATAAACAATGGGTAGATCCATCTTTAATGCTACTTTAATTATTTATATTCTACAAAACCTCCCCTAAAAAGAGATGAACCATCTTGTAGAAATGAAGGAAAGATGTTTTTGCTGCTCAATAAAGATAGCTTTGTTTATAATATATAATTTAGAGTGCATTTGGTAAATGCAATATTGTTTACAAGGTATTGGTTTAAATGGGGTTTGATAAAAAGATTTCCATTAAAAAATATCAATTAACAAGAATTGTCTAAACAAAAAAATGGCAAAATTTGAATTATACAATAGTACTTAATTGTGATCATTATTTAGAATAAATTATTATACTATACTAGTTTATTGTGTTTTATAGTTGATAGAAACTACCTACCTAAAAGGGGCTTGGTTGTGCAAAAAATTTACAGAAATCTTTAATTACAGGTTATGAAGAAACTAAGACGTTAGGTTTTCATACATTCAAAAAGAAGAAAATAAACAAAAATAATAAAAATTAAAAATAAACAATTTGATCTAAACAATTTTGTTACATGCATATTAACTACAAATAGAACATTGCATAGAACCGCACTAAGGATCTAACAGGAGTAACACTGGAAACAAAGATAAGTAAGTTTTGCTTTCCTTAAAAGTCTAGACTCAAGACTAATAATTGAGATTTGGCTTTTAATAGTAAAACATCTTGCAAAGAATATAATCAAGGTTGGTATCGTAAAATACCCAAAGAGCCTCAAAGGATATTTACAAATGAAATAGCTTGATTTAATATTCCCATTAGTCTGCAAGTACATAATACACCAGTATGTCTGAGGAAGACGGTCCATTGTTCAAGGACATGATATTGGAGATATCAGGAGAAGGGAGGGTGGACAGGACGATGGTGGAGGAGGCACGACCCATGTCACGGAGAGAGAGAGACCGAGGGGACGGTGAGAGAGCAGTGGCTCGGAGGCCTCGGTGTATCTGCAGGGAAGAGGACAAATCCGACCTAGACTGTCCGAAGCATGGTAAGTGTATGTGCATCAATAAAATTGACCGGAGATGTCCACATCACGGGGAGTGCATCTGTACACAGGACAAACAGGACAAGTTCTGTCCCGAACATGGCAAGTGTCTGTGTAAAGCGTTGGACAAGTACGACCGTGATTGTGTCAAACACGGTAAATGCACTTGCGGAGAAAAACATCCTGCTCACAACTGTCCCGAGCATGGAAAATGCTGTTGCAGCAATGGCAAACCAAGCCCTAAGTGCAGCAAACACGGTAGATGTGGATGTGGAGACTTCGACAAGTCAGACCCAGACTGTCCTCGGCACGGTAGATGTATGTGTACCGGAGTGAAGAGGCCAAACCAGCGATGTCCGTGGCACGGCAAGTGCATCTGCCCGGCGAGAGGAAGACATCCTAAATGTCCTGAACACGGGAGATGCGCTTGTAAAGACTTGAACAAGTATCACACGAGGTGTGTCAAACACGGGAAATGTAGGTGTAAAAACACTAGGAAGCCAGAAGTTACTTGTCCAGAGCACGGAAAATGTCTTTGCAAAGGAGTCTACGAACCTACTTGTCCGAAACATGGAGAGTGTCGCTGTATAAGTCCAAGATGTCCTATTCACGGAGAGTGCATGTGTCCTGACGAACGCCATCCTGACCCCGAGTGTCCGGTGCATGGATACGAAGAGGCCAGAGAGACGGCTAAAAGAGAAGGGAGGGAAGAAGAGCCAAAGACTGAGAGACCTTCGTTTTTAGCTGCAGATGATGAAGGGCCGTGTACTTGTCCATCTAAAGGTGTGATGGATCCTTATTGTCCTGAACACGGAAGTCATAAAACTAACGGAACAAAACGTGTTTCCTTCAATGATAAGCCCTGCTCCTGTCCTTCGTCAAAGGAACGCGATCCGTACTGTCCACAACATGGGAGGTACAAGCGGAAACACCACCCTGGGCATACTGGAGACCCTTGTACTTGTCCAGAAGGGAATTTAGATCCATACTGTCCTGAACACGGCAATTACTGCGGCGATGGTTCTAAGAGGCCAAAGAGATATGACGGACTTGTGTGCACTTGTGACCCCTGGTGTCCCATACATGGAAAAAGATCAGGAGCGTCTCGAAAGGCACCGGAAGACTATGGGGAGAACTGTACATGTCCAGCAAGCGATGTAAAAGATCCTTTCTGCCCTGATCATGGAGAGTACTACAAAACTGGTAGAAAAATACCTGGGTCTTATGGGAACTTGTGTACTTGTCCAAGCACGAGTGCGCTTGACCCTTACTGTAGAGAACACGGAATTTACAAAATTAGTCCTAAGAAAAGATCTAAAATGCCCGGAATATGCTCTTGCCCAAAAGGGAAGCACGATCCATACTGTCCTGATCACGGGCATTATGTCGGGTGTTCATTGCAGAGGTTCAGTGACGCTCACAAGACAGACCCGAAGTGTCCGAAACACGGTACGATGAGAAAACACAAGGCAGGAGAGAAAAGAGAGTGCACTTGCCATGGCAGAAAACCAGCCATGTTTAAGAAAGGAATATGCAAAACAATATGCGAATTGTCTCCGTGCTGCAGGTGCCTTTGCGAAGCTATATGTTGTAGATCAGCCTGTTGCAAGGCGTGCTTAGGGTCAGACCACAGCGGCTTTGTTGAGAAAAATGGAAAATCAACAGCCGAAAGGAAAAAGAAAGGAATATGTATACTTAGTAAATCTTCGTTGAAAGATAAAACGACTTCAGCAGACAAAGAGGCTACAAAGTTCAAAGGGAAACACCACAAGAAGAAAGAAGACCCTTGCTGTCAAGGAACTGTTGAGCTATGTACACCTCATAAATACAAGAAATGTGGTTTCTCATTCGACGTTACTTATAATAAGAACTGACCCCAAATTACTTGTATGGAATAAATAAGTTTCAAATGTTATGTAATCTTGCAATGAATTTGTGGCAAATGACATTTAATTTACAAAGTATAAAGATTTAATTCTAACCGAATGGTTCTTAAACTGTTTATTAATTGTTTTTAGATAGAATTTATTTTATTTTTTAACAATAGGGTATTATGAGAAATTGTAATATTTAGAGAGTATGAGAGAGGCTACGGAGTAAGTTAGTTTGTGTAATACTCACGAAGGTCTGGTTGGTCATGAGGACTCTGGTAGTAAGGTTGGCGGCGTTGAAGATGCTGATTCCCCCCGAGTCATCGCTAAATATCAGCTCTTCTCCTGAAAAAATAGTTAGAGGTTTGAGTTAGAGTATGAGTATTATAAAACTTAAAGAATGGTTAAAGGTTAAGAGAGAATTGTGTAATACCTCAGTCATTATTGGTTTTCCACTCAATCAACATATAAAAGGAAATAAAAATCTTCCACCACAATAATTATTTCATAATATTCAGGATGGCAACTTGTAAATCTAATATATAAAATTCTCGTGTCACAGTGTTTGTCTGCAAACTCCTCCGGAACGACTTCACCGATCGTTATGAAATTTGGTGTGTAAATTCTGTAGGTATGCGAATCGGACGTAAACTATTTCCCGTTTCGAAATTCTTAAAAGGGCTCCGCCCCAGTGGCTCTGGAGTTTCCCATGTTAACCTTATGAGAAATGGAATTAATGAATCTTAACAGCTGTTTCAATTAAACAAGTTGGTTCTGTTCTATGATGTTCAATAGCATTAAAGTTACAAGGATTACCAACAGGGTGCAGCACTATTATTTCTTTTACATTTATGACAACAGCTAATTTGCAACCAAAAGGTGAGTGAGCGTAGCACCTGGAGGCGAGTTAGCGTAGCGAACGAGCTAACCTGAAGGCAAGTGAGCGCAGCGAACGAGCTCCAACCTAAAGGTGAGTGAGCGTAGCGAACGAGCTCCAACCCAAAGGTGAGTGAGCGTAGCGAACGAACTTCAACCTGGAGGCGAGTTAGCGTAGCGAACGAGCTAACCTGAAGGCAAGTGAGCGCAGCGAACGAGCTCCAACCTAAAGGTGAATGAGCGTAGCGAACGAGGTCCAACCCAAAGGTGAGTGAGCGTAGCGAACGAACTTCAACCAGGACGTGATTGAGCGATGCGAACGAGATCATCTTGAAAATTAAACGTAACGGTACTTTCTTTCCATCGGTCTGTCTTAGGGGAAACCTATAACTTAGGCGATACGAAGTTCGCCGGGTCAGCTAGTCTTTTTTATAATTAACTAGACAATTATAAAATAAATAGGCCATCTAAAACCACCGAAATTGAAGCTCAAAGACATATACCAGGTTTTATTTAAAGTACTGTGGTATACAGACAATACCCCCGCCGCAGCAAACCTGCAGACTAAGCGAATTTCCATTAGCCTGATAGGATTTACACTAAAATGTCTCCTTAAAAAAATAATGATTGTTCTGTGGAACCTTTGATTGTTTCAAACAGTTTTGCTTATCAAAAATCCTCAAGTAATTAATATATAAAAAAAAAAAACATCGCCACAAACAAATTGAGAACCTCCTCCTTTTGTTGGTAGTGGAGAAGTCGGTTAAAAATATCATATTTATTCCCTATTTAAATAGAATTAGTTAAACGAGTACTTAGGTTTGCTGCAACAGGGAGGGTAAAACGGTCGTTTTTTTATGTTAATAGGTTAGTAAGAAATTAATGTATTTTCCAAATTCGATCAAAATATGTTAATAAACAAGCAAACTACAACAGTTGACTTTTTCTCCATAAGAATAACATAGGGATTTTAAATTTATAGTTTTTTGGAATTTTCTCCGTAACCATTAGGCGCACAATAACGCTTCAATATACTTAATTATTTGTTTTTTTATGCTCTACAAAATGGTGTGAAAAGAAATTGTAAAATTTTGTGTTTTTAGGGTCAAAAATGGGAAAAACCTATTTTTACCCCATAAAACCCCCCATAAACCCCCGTTCCCATAGTCCGATCATGCTGGTTCGCGAACTCGTTCGAATAAATGTAGGTTTACACGTTTGTACTAAATTTCATCAAAATCGGATGATTTTTGCTCGAGTTATCGTGCTAACGGACACATATATATATATATATATATATATATATATAAATATATATATAAATATATATATATATATATATATGAATTTGAACGGATGGTGTTTTTGGCCTCTAGGGACCTCAAAACGAAAAAATAAATCGATACCGGGTCCAGGTCTTACCATGAGTACTACGGTAATAGCTTATTCCCTATATGGGAAATTCGCTAAAAACCTTAGGTTAGGTTTATTTTCCAATGTTTTTCTAGTTTTATATAGTATTTTAATTGCTAATTTTGTATTAGAGATTTTAAAATAATTTTAGTCTAGTGGTTATAGAGTCTTGGGCTTTAGGATGGTTAGCGAGACCGATTGTACCGTCAGCAAAATCACAACAATTTGAAGATATTTAAACCACTTAAACATACGGGTTGTTGTCTATCCGCGCACACGGTCGACCAAAAAAATCAGCCAGTCGCTTATTGAACACCACAGGAGTCAGTGAACTTCAGTTTGAGTTTTGTTGTTTTTCTTTTCTATTTTTTCTTGTTTTTGTGTCTTGGCAGTGCAGGGTTAAACATAATTTTATTAATGACAAACTGTAACTGGCGTTAAAACTGAAAAAGAACCCACCTGATATCCCTAGTTGAGAAATTTTAGACCACTTTCACTTTTAGGAGAACGGTCCAAACTCCTCAAACAAACACTATGTAAAAGTATTTTCTGTTGTCAATTAGGAAATGACACTAGTATTGGAGACTTCAGGACCTACCTGATATCCAGGAGCCGTTGTGGCGTAGCGCGGTTAGGTCGTGTGACAGAATGTCCTGCAGCTTGAGTCTTGTCCCCTTCACTCTGGGACCCTCATCAGGCGGCGTCAGCAGCACTACAGAGGTGACTATCAGCGCCAGCACCATCATGATCACCAGCAGCGCGATCAGGATACCGCGCCAGTTGCGCTGGTTGGTGTTGCTGGACACCAACTGCAACAGAAACAACATGTTTTAGAAATCGTTTAGAAAACCTTGAAACTTTTATTGGTATGTATTTGAAGGATGTTTGCAGACATTTCACGATCAGTAAAATGCAACTCATAAAGGATTTGGGATCTGGAATCTGATCCTCAGGAAAGAAGGTAGCTTAACATGACAACGTTGGTGTAAAACCTTTTGAAGAGCAAGCCTAGAGGTAGAGTGGCTTCGACCTCCGAGGTCCCGGTTTTAATGTGCTTATCACTAAATGGTATAGCTGGTCCATAAGGATGAAGAATATAACCAATTGGTTAGTAAATATAGTAGTAAATATATTACTAACCAATATTTTACTCATAAAATATCTAATGGCTATTTATGTACAAGAGGAATTAAAGAGTTCGTCAACATTCTGCACAGCTTGAGGCAATGTTTTGCTCGATAGTGTCGGTTGAGATTCATGGAAAAGTTTCAAAGTTCTGACGGAAAGAGGAAACGGTTTGAACTGTCGGTGTTAACTCAGTCTAACTTTGTTGTCCGCTGTAGAACTTGACTTCTTCATCCAACCTAATTGCTTTTGGAAACTCACTAATGTCGGCGTCACTTTAATGGCAAACATGTTTCACATTGAATATTTTTTACTTCCGAGTAACCTCTAGTAGAATGGATTTAGAAAAAGTTCGGTTTAGCGCCGTTTATAAAAAACACATACATATAAAGAAGAGTTTTTTTGTGATTTATATATTTATTTCAAAAGGATATTAGTGTAGACTATACAAATTTTAAACAAAGGAGTGACAAAAATATGGGGCGGGTAAAGTTTTAAAAGACGAATAGTGAAATTCTAATTGAATGTAAATGTAGATTGAATTAAAAGTAAAATGATTTCTTATTGGCCTGTTGTTATAGTGGGGGCAACAATATTATTATGTATTGAAACAATCCATCAATGGGAGTTTTGGTCCTTTGAGACTAAAACAACACCAATTTATCATATTTTATCGTGTTTTATTTGTATTTATATAATTTGTTTTCATTCCTCCTAAAAGAAATTAACTTTCAATTACTTTGTTAAGACACTCTAGAACGGTTTAATTGGAAAAGTCAAGTCAATATTCTAAGAGACCGCCACTGCTTCTTTGATCGAGTTGAACAATGACATGATCAAAAGCTGGTAGACACTCGTTGCTCAGTTTGATTCAAACTCCTCTGCCTTCTCTGTGGAGTTTTGGTCTGTTTTGATTAGAGGATATAATTAGAATGACACGGGTTAGTAAGACACATTTTTTAACCGCATAAAGCACAATGGTTTTATCATGAGTTCAAATCTAAAACATTACAATGATATAAAAAAGTAAAATCAATTTTAGTATATTTACTGACGCTCACACACCCTCATCGAAGCATTGACTATTCATACTATGTATGCATTGAAAAAGATATGATATGTTACATTTAGTTTATATGACATGGTTATATGTTTCTACTTTTATGCTGTTTATACTTTTATTTACATGACAGCTGACTATAAAATATTAATATGATCAGTATTACGTGAAGTGTTAAAATATATCCTACCGGAACACTAATGTCAACTACAAACAGTTTTCTATCACATTATCAATTATTCCCATGTTAAATTTGTAGCCAGCTTTTTTATCAAAATCGTTGTAGTTGATGTAGCCACCTATAGATTGCGCTGATCTAAATTACTAAATTCTGCTGAATACACAATCTTTTTAATCAAGTCAAACTTAGGGAATGACTTATGATGAGTTTTGGAAACTGTTACAACCCATCAACCTGGTCAGCAACAAAAAATAAGGTATGAAATAGAATTTTAGATACTAGCGCATTCTGTGACTGCCTCACACAACTACATTCTTTTTTATAAAAAATTGGCTACAGGTGGTCCATGTAGATGGGAATTCTACTTCAGTCAATGGTATAACATAGACTGTCAGCCGTGCTGCGGTTGCCATGGTTACCATAGGTTCCGGCGCACACCGCTGCAGTTTACATAGCGCGTACGCCGTAACTACGGTGGTGCTCCAAGCGGTGTGCGCCAGAACCTATGGTAACCGCAGCACAGCTGACGGTCTATATTTAATTCTTTTTGTCTATGGTATAACCAAAGAGGCGTGGATAAAATATTGTTCTAATATTCAACCGCATACTGAGTCATAGGCCGCATGAAGAAAATAAATATCATACTTTGATCTCTTTAACCATTGACCAGAACATTGAAATAGATTAAAATTAACTAATACTGCTGTAAGATTTATTTAGTGATTCTCAGAGAAGCTTTGTTGGGAAAGTCCAAAACCACAAGCAAAGAGCATACCAGAAATGAAGCGCTCCTTTTGTGTTGAGGTTATAGACGCTAACCATTTGTGTTGGCAATTGTAAATATGCCTAACCTAGCAATGGATTTTTCATTGCTTAACTATCTATGGTGATTAATTTGTGTAGATATTTTTTATTCACGTACACAGAGTTATATAAGTGATTACTTTCTTGATCTCAACAATTTTCATTATATTTTGTATATACTTACACCAAAACATACAATGTATTTATTTCCCTTTATACATAGCACAATGTAAGCCATTTGATCCTATAGCATTGTACAAACTATAGGAATAGATCAATAGCAGCTACGTTCACAATGGCCCATACATTTCGTAAATGGATATTGGCTTTGTTATTCATTGTCAGAGGAATTATTTCTGCGAAGTTAAGTGCTTTCAGGATGAACCTTTCTTATTTTAGGTAGATCATGTATTTTTTGTCCCAGGACGCTGGGCACGAGCCCGGAATTGTTTTTCAAATTACTTCAGGCTAGACCTAGGGGTTGCGGCATTATCACTTAGATAAAATCTATTTGTGATTTGGCTGGATTTGAACCTGGGACCTTATAGGGACTGAAGTCCCACGCTCTAACCACTGAATGAGGTAAACCATGAATAGGCTGTGTTACGTTAACGTATTATCATTTTTAAATTGTTGGTTTTGCCTATTTATGCTCGTTTGTAGACTAGGAAAACATATGGATACACTTTTGAAGACATGTATTAAACGCTTGATTGTACTTGAATTCTTCTGTATTATAGCAACGTGGGCTTTGAATTATAAAAATTGTATACTATATAAGTATACAAAAAATATGGACAAGCTATAGTTGTATATAGTCTAAATACTATACAGCCGCAATTGTTACTCACTCAGGTATACAAATTCTAGACCACTTCTAGATGAGCTAGAGACTTGAAATTTTCGGTGGTTGTAGGTCTAGTGCCCAAACCACCCATAAAATTCCAAAAAGTGACATTTTTAAATTTTAACCCCCCCGTAATCTCGAATTTCCCCCCCATGTTATTCTTATGGGAAATAGCATTGAAAATTGCCGACTTTGGTAAGCTCATCTGAACAACTTAGAAACGTGCTAGAGACTTCAAATTTGCGTAGTATTGTAGTGTGAGGTCTTACAATACCGGTGGAATTTGCAAAAGTCCCATTTTCAAATTTTAACCCCCCCCCAAAATTCAAAATGGCGGACCTCTGAAAACGACAAAACACGTTTTTTTCAACCGGATGTAGCTCGAAAACGGTAAGAGCTAGATAAGATTTGAAAGTATATCCAGGAACAGGAATTAAATTTTATACAAAACCGTCTTGGGCGTTTTCCAAAAATCGCACTCCTTCAGCTTCAAAAAACGCCCTACTTTCAAAATTTGTTAAATTTTTATTCAATTTTTACCGGTTTTCGCCATGTTTTCATACTTAAATAATTTTTTTTTTCAAAAATTATTATTGCTTTGTATTCTCCTTACTTTACTTTAAATTTTACATATTACATGTTTTTTGGTAACTTTACTCCTTGACCCCCAAAACTTAATTTTAATCTCAAAATTTGAAGGTTTTTTGCCACTTTTACGAGCCCCATGTTATTCTTATGGAGAATAACATTGAAAGTGGTCGACTTTGGTGTGCTCATCTGAACCGTTTAGAAACGTGCTAGAGACTTGAAACTTGGTATTATTGTTGTAGGGGATCTTATATTAACGGTGAAATTTGCAAAAGTCCCATTTTCAAATTTTAACCCCGCCAAAAATCCAAAATGGCGGACCTCTGAAAACGATAAAACACGTTTTTTTCAAACGGATTTAGCTCGAAAACAGTAAGAGCTAGAAAAGATTTGAAAGAATATCCAGGAACAGGAATTAAATTTTCTACAAAACCCTCGTCGGTGTTTTCCGAAAATCGCACTCTTTCGGGTTAAAAAAACTCCCTACTTTCAAAATTTGGTAAATTTCTTTCAACTTTTTACCGGTTTTCGCTATTTTTTCATACTTAAATCATTCCTTTTTGCAAATATTATTATTGCTGTGTATTCTCCTTACTTTAGTTTAAATTTTACACAATACGTGTTTTTTCGTAACTTTACTTCTTAACCCCCAAAACTTAGGTTTAATGTCAACATTTGAAAGTTTTTACGAGCCCCATGTTATTCTTATGGAGAAAACATTTACCCCATAAAAACCACCATAAGTCCCCGTTCCCATGGTCCGTTCATGCTATACATTTACTCTGGTTTACTTAAGGTTTCATCCCCCTATCGTATTTACAACCCCCCCCCAAATATTAAATCCCCCCAATGTTATTCTTACAGATGCATAAGTCTAAATCACGTTTACACATTTCTAGATTAACTGGATATCTGAAATTTTGCATGATTTTAGATCTTGCGCCCTTTCCGAAAAGTGACATTTTACAAATATAACTCCCTCCCCCACGAAATATAGAATCCCCCCCCAATGTTATTCCTACAGGTGCATCGGTCTAAATCAATTTTACCCACTTCTAGAATAGCTAAAGATCTGAAATTTGGCTCAATTGCAGGTCTTGCGCCATGGCCCATTTCTATTTACCCCCTACCAAAAAAGGGGGCCTAGCGAGCCAAAGGCGAGTTTGATCATATACAATTACACTAACATGTTAAGCTAACACCA